TATCATCGGCACACGTCACACTCCGGGTCCACTAACTTTATCGAGGGTAGGGCGTGTCAGTTCAAAGGGATACAGTTATTTTAGAAATATAATTTTTCCAATTCAAACATTTTCCATCTAAAAAATGGGTCTCAAGTTGAGGCTAAATATTTGAAACATAATTTTTTCGGTTGGAAATTGATTTGTGTAAATACTTCTACTATATTTCACTCATTTGACCCCCAATTGCATCCAATTGATCATATATGATCTTCAATCTTCGTTTTGTGTTCCAAATAAACTATTGGATGTTTACACTTTGGTCCCCAAATTTTGAATTTCCTTCTTTTTTGCACATTTTTCGTTCATTTGTTTCAAATCCACCCATTTGCATTGAGTTCAACCTAACAAACATAATTAACACAAAATTAAGTTATAAATCATCCAAATTACTAACAAATATTCTAATTTAATGGTCTAGATAAGTGTACAAAATACACTTATCAAACATCCCCAAACTTGAATATTTGTTTACTTTCAAACAAAATTATAACATAACTTAAACAAAATTTTTTAACACACATATAGTTAGATAATTTGCCTTTTATCACAAAATTGGAATATATGTATTAAAACTATGAACTGCTACAAAATTACATTGCTAAAATTATTTTTTACTTATCAAATGCAAAATCAACGTGTGTGTATGAAAATTCTTGTCAAGTATCATAAATTCATGAAGTGATTCAAATCCCAACCCTCAATAGTCAAATTTGTCCTTTCTCTTCTCGTGAGTTTCACGTCGCCAACCTTATTCTTTTAACTCTTTTCTCATGGTGTGATCTAAGGTTGAATTTATATACTATTCTTCACCCTTTCTAGTTTGGTTAGATTTTACTAATTGCGGTTCAATACATCAATAAATGCGAATTCTTCTTATTTTTTATTGTTTTAACCTCTAAGAATCAACTAAGTTAATAATTCATTGTCAAATGTTTAGATTCTCTCAAATAAGTATTTGGGGCTTAATCAAATCATGTAATAATATTTTTTTCTTTTTTTTCCATCTTATGTGCGGATTTCTCTCTATTAAGTTTTCTAAATTACTCTTATAGCAAGCTTTTGGCCAATAACTCCCAAATTAGGTGACTATAAGGCACCATGTTTTAAATATTCTTGCAGACTTAATTGCTCGAATCATAAAAGTTACAATAAGATAATATTTTCTACTTTTCATGAAATGATTAGTGCAATACCCCTTATTAAATACTTCTTCTCAAAAATCAACCTCTAAATTAAAATTTTCATCCTATTGTCATTAGACAATCCTCACAAAATTTAACACACATGAAATCCACATCTATCTCAATATTTCCCTACAATAGCTCAATCACTCCAAACTATCCTAGAATTAGTTTAAAGATGTATAATTTAGTAGTCATTTGGATTTAGCATTTAAGGTCCGCTAATTAAATTTTTTTACCTATTCAAAATTCGAATCAAATATTTATTCATGATGCAAAACATAAATCTTCTGCACAATACTACTCTTTTAGTTAACAAATAAAACAAATAAAACCAAACACTCCCTAACAACTGAAATGGTCTGTTAACAGACCATTTTTGGTTAGGTAACAGACAATTTTCATTTGTTTTGGTTGTTGCGTTCTGCGTCTATTTCAATATTTTTGTCATAACTTTTTCTTCAGATATTCGATTAAGGTGATTCAAAATGTATTGGAAAAATAACTCAAATGGCTACAACTTTGCCAAAAATAGGTCATTTTCAATTCGAACGTTTACTGGGCCAAAAATGGATCTCAATCTCTAACTAAAAATTTGGACATCCTTGTGCGGTTGAAAATTGATTTGTTTTCACTTATTTTGATCTTTAGTTGTATCCATTTGACCCATAGCATTCTCGAATCTTCATCGTGAGCTCGAATATGTGTATAAACAAGCCAAAAATTCGATTGTTTTTGTTTTTAAGAAATTTATGTTCCACCGTAAGCTGAATTTTTGAATGAATGTTTACAAATTCCATTTTGTCATGCAAATATATGAACATAGCTGATGATAATG